GGTGTGTCTCATGACACTGAGACATGGTGAGACACACTTGACAAAAATAATTTGTTCTGGAGTGAAGGAGGCCCTGGGTTAGAATGTAAGCTGTGCCCACGCTGTAGTTCAGAAATTAGTAAGTGTCCATCCATCCATCCGTTCATTCATATGCATATTCATCCATCCATCCATGTGTCCACCCATGTGTCCATCCATCCATCCATCAATCCATCCAACTATCCATCTGTCCATCCATCCATCCACCCATCCATCCATTTACCCATCCTTCATCCATCATCCACTCATTCATTCACCCACCCATCCATCCATCCAACCATCCACCACTTACCCATTCAATAAACATATTTTATTGAGGACCTACTGGGTGCTAAGTCCTAGAGCTGCAATTTGGAACACAGAAGAAATCCTGTTTTCAAGTAGTTCACAGTCTTCCATGTAAGACCCCGCAAACAAATCAGTGATCGCAGTGTAATGTGATGAGAGCAGGAGAGGGAAGCCAGGGACCTGTGAGGACACAGAGGAAGGTGAGGCCTGAAGGAAGGAAGTGAGGGTTTAAGCTGTGATCTGAGGAGGGTAGGAGTGGAAGGAAGTGGGCTGTGGGGGAGCAGGAGAGAGAGTTCCAGACAGGGGGAAGAACTATACAAAGAGCCTGGCATTTTCAAGGAACTGAAAGAAGGTCCATGTGGTTAGAATAAAGAAAGGAGATAGATGGTGGGGCTAGAGGCAGAAGTTGAGGCTGGAATGGTCAATGAGAATCTGGACTTCATCCTAAGGATGATGGGGAAGTATGGAAGTATTTTTGAGGGAGGGGAGAGCCTTGCTCAGATTTGTGTTTTGGAAAGACCTCGGGGCTTTAGAGAGGAGGGTAGATTGGAGTGACAAGGCTGGGGGCTGGGAGATGAGCGTGGGGCTGGGGTCCAGCAGGGAGATGGAGATGGTTGGCCATGTGGATGGTGACAAGGGGATTGGTTCAAGACACATGCAGGCGGCCTGCTGAACAAGTCTTTCCCATTGACCAGGGGAGGGGACGGAAAGCCCATGGTAAGGATACCCCTGTTTTACTGACCCCTGGACTCAAGCAGACTGACGACGTCTCAGGGAAGGCTGACCCATCAGTGAGCCCATCAGCCCTCGGGACAGGGCAGTGGGATGTATTTTGGGATTGGGGGCTGCAGATAACATCTGGGACCTTCACATCTTAGCCACCATGGGTAGGATAAGACAAGTCTAGCTTCAGCTGTCAGAGGACAGATTTCTGTGGACAAAATGCTAGAACTTCACTGGGATGCTCCCAGCAAGTCCTTCTCCTCCTGGAGCCTCAGCTGACGTGGGCTGCCACCTCAGGGATGACTGTCATGTGCAGTTCCATGGCTTAGGGCTAAGTTCTTGGGGTTGTGACAACAGCATCGCTGATTCTGCCCCAGCCCACAACAGAGCCAGAGGTAGGGCAGAAGAAATTCCTCCCTTTCTTTCAGGGCGAGGTACCCAGAATCTGGTTGGCAGACCCGCTCCAAGCAATGGTGGGGGGAATGTTGATCTTCTCTAGTGCTTAAGGGACTCCCCACGGCTGTGGTCTTGGCCCCGGGGCAGCAAGGGTGACCGCTGCGTGGATGGCATATCTGGTCAGCTTGAGTCAGAGGTGTTGAAACAAGCAGTCACTCAACCTCTCTCTCCCACTCTGGTCCAATTCCCCTTTAACTCCATGGTCCTACTAGGCCTGCATCTGGCCTATTTTCCCACCCGTGACCTTGCCCTTCCTCTGGCCACCCTCTCCTCTGTTGCCCTCTGTAGAACTCTGCCTCACCACTGCCTCCTCCAGGGAGCATTCCTGATTTCCCAGCCCGACCTCTGAGCTCTAGAGTCTGCACAGCACCGTAAAGGTCTCTTGAGGCCCTTAGCATAGTCCCAGACTCATAGTCTCAGGACATCCCATCTGGAAGGTCCCTGGGAACCCATTTCATAGCTGGGAGACCTGAGGAGGAATGAACCAGTTAACCCCTGGCAAGGAAACCACCTCAAAAATGTCCCTGGTCTGTGTTGCCTCCAAAGAGAGGTGGAGAGGTGGGCTCTGCACTCCAGTGCTTCTTCCCAGATTGGGGCTCCTTGTCCTTGTCCTTCGTCCCGTCCCCTGTCTTGGTCAAGCCTCATGGAAAGCTCCACAGTGTGCAGATGCTAGGGACACACATGGTGACAGATGTGTCCCTGTCCTCACGGAGTTTACAGTCTCCCTGTCACATCAGAACCGTGTCCCCCACCAGAGTTCTGCACTGCTTCTCTCATTTTTTTTAAAGGTTTTATTTATTTATTTGACACAGAGAGAGATCACAAGTAGGCAGAGCAGCAGGCAGAGAGAGAGGGGAAGCAGGCTCCCCGCTGAGCAGAGAGCCCGATGCGGGGCTCGATCCCAGGACCCTGAGATCATGACCTGAGCTGAAGGCAGAGGCTTAACCCTCTGAGCCACCCAGGTGCCCCTGCTTCTCTCATTTATCTGCACATTCCCTCCTCTGTGCCCATGCTAAGCGCTTCCCTTCTGTGAAGTTCCCACCACTCCTTCTCTTGGTGTGAATCCTCCCAGTCACAAGGACCCATTCCTGGCCACCACCTCCAGGAAGCCTTCCAAGGTCTCTCAGCCAGAAGGAACCTCTCCCTGCTCTAGGTCTGACAGCCCTTTATCTCACGTGCACATACCTATGTCGGGGTTGGGCCCTGTTCCTCTCCCACCACAGCCCTGGGCACAGCATGTTTGCTCCTCTGTTCCCTCCCTTGCCAGGCATCCCGCACCAGCCCAGAGCTAGACCAGAACCTTCTGCTCTTGCTGTCACAACCAATTCCCTAGAAGGGACAGGGGAATTTGGGTCCTTCTGGAGAAAAGTTCTGAGGCTGCAGCAGAACAAGGGGGACTCAAACCCCCGTCAGGGACTTTCCCCAGCGGTAGGGGCCGGGCAGTCTGGCTGTTAGTAAAGTTGCTAATCATCATCCTTACAGTCCCCTCTTGTCCAGCATAAGAGAGCATTCCGTGACCCCTGTGGCTGGTGGAGAAGCCACTGGGCGGAGGGCATGAGGATGAGAGAGTCAGGAGACATTCCACCCACGAGGGGCAGCATCGGCAGAGACCACCTCTGCCCCTCCCGGGACCCAGGCCCTCCCCAAGCACCTCGGGGTGTTTGCATTTCCTCCGAGCCCAGGCTCTTCTCCAGGTCAAAGTGGCCCTCTCCCAGGGGGGCTCACCGAGGGCACCAGCATCCCTTCCCCAGTCCAGGCTGGCCTCCTCTGACTCCTCAGGATGGAGCCTGCTCGGTGCGCCTCTGTTTGGAGTGGAGGTTGTCCCCACCTTGTGCAGGAAGCTGGTGCCAAAGATGAGGACAGGCAGGAGGACCCCTGCTGCATGTGCAAATTACAGCCTGTCCCAGAGACAGGAAGAAGGGCCCAGCCAGACAAGCTGGGGACAAAGAACCCCCCGGGTGGTGGCTTGAGGAGTGGGCGATGTGACCCTGAGAAGCAGAGGAAAGCTGGTGTGAGATCCACTGAGAGGACCCCAGTTGGCTTGGATTGGCTGTTTTGGTGGGGCCCCTGGGACGGTCCAGACGTCCCTTGATGGGTGATGATGTGAGGCCCAGAGAGGGTCTGTGAGCTGCCCAAAGTCACACAACAAGGTGACGACAGAGGACCCTGCTCAGGAGACATCCTGCCATGGACCAGGCGTGCCCCAGCCCTCCCCGACCAGGATGCAAAGTGGCACCAGCCTGCCAAGGTGGCCCTGGGGTGGGGGCAAGGGGAGGAGGAGGAGCACGGTCTTGCCCTCCAGCGCCCCTGTCCAATGCATAGCTTCTTCTCCCAGATGCCCTGCGAGGACTGGCAAGGTGGTAGCGAGCACCGCCCCTCCCCCTCCATGGGTTGGGTTTCCACGACAGTACCTGCTGCCGTTATCATCCTTGCTAATAAGATGCCACAGTGGTGTCAGGCTGACACAGAGCCGGCTGTGGAGAGGGGAACACGTGTGTCCCATGGTGTGGGCCCAGGTGTCATCTGAGCTCCTGGTCACTCAGGAACAGAGCAGAGCGGGGCTTGGGGTCACCCTGCTGAGATGTTACCACCTGGAAGTGGGCCCAGGACTCTCCTCCCAGGAAGGGGCTCCTGCCACTTGGCCCAGGGGAACCCGAAGCAGACTGTTGGCCGTTTTCTCTGGTGGCTGGGGAGGGGCCCGAGGCAGGGATGCTGTGGCCCATGGTGCATGGAAAGTCTGTTCAGGGCTCACACTGGAACCTGACCACGTGTCATGGCAGATTGGGCCCTTGCAGGTCCTTGCCTTCCATTCTGCAGCCCGGGGTGAGGGACCCCATGTTGGGGAGCTAGGCTTCCCAATCTACAGGGGGCCAATTTGGACTAAATGATGATTAAAACCTGCCAGGCTCTGGTCTCCTGTGGTTCAGGGCCCAGCTTGGGGAAGCACCCACAACCGAAGTCGTCTGGGCCTCAGGCCTTTCTCAGAATGAGTGGAGCTGGGGTACCCCCGGGAAGATGCCCCCATGCCTATGCAGCCTGCTGACACCCCCAAACCCAGGAGGCCTGCCAGGAGCCCAGGAGCCCATCCAGACCCAGGCTAGGCAGCCCCACTGACTCCCACCCGGCTGTCCGCCACCCCCCCACCCACCCATACAAGACACGGTGCATGAAGGAGGCTCATGGCCTCGGGGCAGAGGCTAAGCCCCTGTAGGGGAGGCTCTTCTGTTCTTCTAATAGAGGAACTAAGAAATGTCCCTGTGAAAGGAGAAGTGTGTCACTGTCATGGCCCCCGGACACACACACACCACCTCTGTCCCCAACGGAGTGCCTATTCTCTGGAAAGCCACAAACATTCCAGGACTGGACTTGTGCTGAATCATCTCAAAATCTTCAGACTCCACGGGTGTAGGGAAGGATGTATGGGGGAGGCGGCAGGAGGTGGGGCAGATCCCCAAAGAGGTTAAATAGGTCACCTCCATGCTTGGCTTCCATCCTCGCCTCCCCCTGAGCAGAAGGACCCACACTCACAGGTCCTCTCCTGGGCTCGCAGCACCATGACCCCCTTGAAGACACTGCTCCTGGTCACGCTCCTCCTGGGGGCTTCTCTGCAGGTCGTGCATGCAGGTGAGAGCCAAGGAAAGGTGGCCTGGGACAGGAGGGGGCAGGGCACCAAGATCACAGCTGCAGTGACCGCTATTCATGCATTAGGGACAGCCCGGTGATTCCTCTAGGGACGGGGGAGGCTGGCAGCAGTAGGATTTTGAGGGAGGCATGAAGATGAGGAGGAGGGGGGTGTGGGGAAGATGCCACCCCAGAGCTTGGGATTGGCTCAGTGAGGAGCAAAGTGCTGGCCCTTCTCTCTCTGCAGTGACTGAGAGGCAGTGACCTTGGTTGGGTTTTGACAGTGGAAAATGACCTATTCTCGGAAGCACTGGTTAGCGTGTGTTTTGCTCCCGGGTCTTTCTTGACACCAAGGGCATCAGCATGCCGGCAGGAGCGCTGGTTCCCGGAGCACGTAAATAGAGGGATGTCTATCCGCAGCTGGAAGAGAAAGGCGGCCGATGTGGGAACACAGCTGGCTAGCGCCCCGCTCGGCCACGGCTCCCCAGCCTTCACCTGTGGCTCTCACTTCTGCAAAACGCAGGTCGGGTTAGCTCTCTGAGTTAGTCCAACCCAGTTAGTCATACCCTGGGGGCTTCTTAGAAAACACTCTAGCCGTGGCATTGATTAAAGCCACGCATCACCAGCTGGCCTATTTACAAGTGCTGGATACTTTTTTCTTGTGCAAGAGAAGGAAGCTGAGGCCCAGGAAAGTGTCCTCGCGCCCAGGGCTCCCGTGTAATCATGGGTGAAATACGGTAGTGGCGGAGCCTGCCTCTGGGTGCACTGTGAGGGCTGAACGAGCTCCTGCAGGCAGAGGCTCAGCCCAGAGCCTGGCCCAGAGGACATTCTTGGGTGGTTCCCTGGCTGGCATTTGAGTGTGTGCACACACAGAGGCACACACATGCAGACACACACAGCCGCGCCTACACGCACACCAATATACATGTGCACGCATATGCACCAATATACGTGTGCACGCATGTACACACACTCAGGGCCCCCAAGAGCACACAGAGAGACCTCACACACACAAATGTGTCCATACACACATGCGCACGCACGCGCACACACACACACACACACGGACACTCACAGACGTACCTACTCCTGCCTCCTTTCTCCATAGCGCGAGGGACTAATGTGGGCCGGGAGTGCTGCCTAGAGTACTTCAAAGGAGCCATTCCTCTCAGAAGGCTCAAAGCCTGGTACAGGACCTCAAAGGAGTGTCCCAAGGAAGCCATCGTGTAAGTGTGCCCAGCCCCCTTCCCCTCCCCCACCACCTTTGCTCCTAGGAGTCTGGGAGAAGGCAGCCCCTAGGGCTGCAGAAGGGGCACTGGGGAGAGGAAAGAGTGGAGCCTTCATGGCCCCCTTCCCACCCCAGCCCTGCTCCTCCTGGCGGTTTCTGCACCCCACCCTGTGAGACCCCAAAGGCCTCGGGCTGTGAGGTTTGACCTCTTCTCTAATTGATGGGGAACCAGAAGCCCCGAGAGACAGGGCAGCCCCCCGGCACACTGGCCCTCAGAGGCCACTGTGGTCACTTCCCACGGCTTGGACCTGAGCCGGGCGCCTCCTGGGCACCCCTAGTTTCTAGGTTTTCGGTGGGAGTGAGCCAGCTGAAGTGAGGGGCGGAATGTCCTGGCTCCCCGGGAGGGACTGTCAGGAGCGTTGGGAGTCAAGAGTCACTGCCGACAAACTTGATGTCCCGGATCTGTCACCGAGGTGCTGTGTGACTTCAGGCAACTTCTTGCTTCTCTTGGGGGCCTCGGGGGCCTGGTCGCTACAGAGCAAGGCTGATCCCCGGGCTGTGGAAGTCCTTCTTGCCCTGACACCCACTGACGACTTTCTCCCTCTCCCTCTCGTGTAGGCTTATAAGTGTCCAGGACAAGCCCATCTGTTCGGACCCCAAGGACACCAGGGTGAAGAAGGCAGTCAGATATTTAAAACGCATGCACAACCCTGGGCTCCAGCAATCCTGATTTCTGCCGGGACCATTTGGAGACCTCCAGCTTCAGTGTTCACTACACTAGCCCCGAGCTTTCTGAGTCCAGGGGAGGCCCTAGACGGACAAAGGGGACCCCTGCTTCCTTTTCTAGCCTGGAATCATAGCAGAAAGAGCCCAGATTCAAGTCTCTCTTTTCGTGGGGACCTGGGTAGCTCAGTTGGTTAAGCATCTGCCTTCGGCTCTGGTCATAATCCCAGGGTCTTGGGATCGAGCCCCATATTGAGCTCCCTGCTCAGTGGGGAGCCTGCTTCTCCCTCTCCCTCTGCTCGTGTTCACTCTCTCAAGTAAATAAACATAATCTTTTTAAAAATTAAAAAAAAATAAAGTCTCTCTCTTCATACCTTAGTCTGGGTCAGCATGTTCTGCCCACCCAGCCTGTCACAGTGGAAGAACATCTGGTCCTGTCATGTCCTGTCCAGGCCAGAAAGGGAAACTGAGGCTGCAGAACTCACTGCAGAACACATGTGAGGGGCGAGAGAAGGTCCTGGTGAGAGAGGTCCCGGCCGGGGAGCTGAGGGTGTCTGTGGGATGAGTCCAGCCTCCAGGAGGCCTTCCCCAAGAAGCTGCCCATCGGGCTGTCTCTCCTGCTCTGATTCCTCCTGCTCTTAGGGACTGTAGGGCAGCCCGCTGTGATGGGGTTGTTTTCCCAGATGACTGCTGTGTGGGTATGTCAGTCCTGGCTCCTCCGTTAGACGGGAGCTCCATGAACCACCCTGAGCACCCCACAGCCTAAGTCCGAAGACGGATGGGGGACGGGGAGTTTACGGACTCCCTCCTCCCAGACCCCTCTGAGCAAGCCCCCCTCAGGGCCTGAGCCATAGTGTGCTGGGTGTGGGGGAAGCAGGGTTTTTGGATTCTAGTTCTATCTCACTCTTCTTATCAGCCATGGCCTTGTGGCTTCTCTGGGACACAGTCTGGGGACAACGCGGGGGGGCGGGGTGGGGATCCTTGTCTTCCTAGGATTCTGTAATTCAGAGTCTGGGAAGGCTGCAATTAGGAGTAATTTTCAGGTAAAGTTTTGCCTCCTGTTGCCCCCTTGTGGCCAGTCATCTTATTACAGGCCAGATGACAGACCCAAGCTCACTTAGAGTAGAAGCAGGAATAAAACAGGACAAACAATAATAATAATGAAGCTGATGATAATGAACTGGCTTCTCTGTGACCCCAGGGTCTCCTGGATCGCAGCTGGGCTCTTCCCCGGCTCTGAACCCGAGGCGTATCCCTCCAATAACTGCCTTGGACGCAGAATCCTGTGGGCAGCCGGGGTCTGAGTTCTTCAGGATCCATTGTGTGGGGGCGGGGTGGGGATTGGAGGGAAGATGATTTCCAAATAGAGGGAAGCAAGAAGGAGCCCCTGTGACAGCAAAGGAGAACAAGGGCAGGGGCCCAGATCCCTCACTCTTGCAGTTTGGAGCTTAAAGACACCCAAGAGGACACGCATTTCATCCAATGTGCATAGCATTTTAAAAGAAGCAAAACCTCTTTGAGTGAAATCTTCCTCAGAGGCCCATCTGTAAGCTCAGAGGAGTGGAGGTTCGTGGGGAACTGTGAGGATGTTTAACATCAGGATTGGGGAGGGGACAAGATGCAGGAGATGGGATCAGCCACCATGTCCCCCTGAAAGGGAGCCATCTGAAGGAACGGTGACTTGGGGACTCCCCTGACTGGCACAAAAGAGGACCTATCAGTGACCAGAGAACAGAGAACAGTGGGGGTGCTGGCATCACATTGTCCCTTCCACCTGGAAGGGGCATCCCCTTTTTCGACTGAAATCCAGTCCCCCTTCGGGGCTCAGCTTGGTTGCACTGACCCTCTGCCAAGTACCCCCTCCGGCCTCAGCCTCACCTCTACCACACTGCCCCCTTTACTATACTTACTGCACGTTGGTCGCGCCAGTGAGCTCACAGGCACTGGTATTTGGGTCAGGCAAGTCAGTACATGACTTATTTATAAGGGGGGGGCGTGTTTTGCGCATAGTGGGCATGCGATTTACACATCTTGATCAACCAGCCCCGGGCTGAACTTCACGAGGAGCACGAACGGAGAAAATCCCGGAGGAGCAGACACCCTGATTAAGGGCTTCCAGCTTGGCCTCTAAGTGGCCAAGAACTGAGTTGCTCTGCGCTTGGCCACCAGAGGGCGCCCCCATAAAGATAAGCCTGAGCGCAGAGGCCCTCCAGCCTCCTCCGAAGCGTCCCAGGGACCCGGTTACCCACTTCCGACGGTAGCTGCTTAGGGGCCCAGGGTGAGGGTGTCTGCAGCTGGCCAGCCCTCCTTCTAGGAGAGCAGAGGCACAGGCACCACCAACACTCTGCCCGGGGTTAGCTGGATGAAGACGAAGAAGCAAAAACGCTGCTGGGATGTACAGTGCCCCGTGTTCCAGCCGGGCGGTGGCCAGCGCCTGGAGCACCACGCCGGGGCTCCTCTCTCTGTGTCTTCTTAGATTCCGTAATTCCTGTTTGGCCTCCAGTCATCACAGGCCCGAAGTCATGGCTAAAGCTAGTTACACCTCCCCTACGTTCCAGCTTTGGAAGGCACGCAAAAGTCACACGACAAACTCTCCAAGCAACCTGGAGCTCATTGCCCTAAACGCCCCCTTTCTGTAGTTCACACCGCAGACCACTCTGTCCCCTGCCCCAGATCACCCGTGGCGGGGACCAGACCACTAGGGATAGCCCCCTGCCCAAAGCCTTTCGGAATTATTCACACTGGCTAACCCTCAGGAGCTTCTCCTGCTCCCCCCAGCCCCGTGCTTTTCCCATGGGGACCCCAATAAAAGCTTTGGCCTCTGTGCTTTCTCCTCCCTTTTCTTCTGCCCTGAGTGATGGCCCATGGCCCCTTCTCTTGGGAAATGTCAGCAGTTAGACTAGCACTGACCTCTCTGTCAACGTCCCTTCCGTAAACTAAAACCCCACAGGTACATTTTAACATGGGGGTCAGGGACTTGCCCTGTATCTGCTCTGCCCCTGACTGGCTGTGGGGTCTTGGCACAATCACTCCATCTTCCTGGGCCCGTTTCTCCCTAAAATGATGAAATCGGACCCTTCTCTGAGCGGCTTGAGGATGTGTCCTGTCAAGAGAATGAGGGCTCAGTTTGCTGCTTTTCTGCTCCCACATTGCCTGCAGGGGATCAGAGTCTGAGAAAACCTGCAGTTTCCTCCTAATTGAACTGACATTTTATTGATTTGTAAACCTGCCTATTGATCAAGACTAATTACTTATCTCTCACATATGTAACAAATAGGTTTCCCTCATTTATTAGGTGTTAGCCCTTGCTCATCCCTTCCCCCCTTAGACTGAAGTGTTTGATAGTTCTATAATAAAACTTTTTGGTCATTAAAGAAAAGGGGGGGATGGGGCACCTGGGTGGCTCAGTGGGTTAAGCCTCTGCCTTCGGGCTCAGATCATGGTCTCAGGGTCCTGGGATCGAGCCCTGCATCGGGCTCTCTGCTCAGCAGGGAGCCTGCTTTCCCCTCTCTCTCGGCCTACTGCTCTGCCTACTTATGACTTCTCTCTCTGTCAAATAAATAAATTTAAAAAAAGGGGGGGGAGGCATGCTCAGTGCACACACGCCCGTGATCATAGCAGCTCAATCCTCCACAGCCAAGATGGAAGCCAAGACGGAAGTAGCCCCTATGTCCACCGGGGGATGAATGGATACATAGTGGCTTGTGAGTACAATGGAATATTATTCAGCCATAAAAAGGAGTGAGTACTAACACGTGTTACAAGTGGATGAACTTTGAAAATACACAGAGAAGCCACACACAGAAGGTCACACACTGTATGCTTCCATTCATACCAAACACCCAGAATAGGCAAGTCTCCAGAGACAGACTGCAGATGGGCATTGCGCGATGCCGGGGGAGATGGGGGAGAAAGCCCAGCTCCTGGACAGGTTCAGGGCCGCCTTTGGGGGTGATGGAAACATTTGGAACTAGACAAAAGTGAGAGTTGCACAACATTGCTGACGTACTATTGTTCCCATTAAAAAGGCTCATTTTATGTTATGTCAATTTGACCTCAGAAAAAAGCGGTGGGGGGGACAAGCATCACATAAGCTCTTTTCTGCAGAGAAACACTATAGAAGAGGAGAGGGTGTACTGGGCATCAGCTTCAGGTGAGAGCACCCCTCTGGGGAGGGCGGAGGGGGGAAGGAAAGGCATAAGCAGCTGTAACCCTTCATGTATTAAAGAGTAGAGTTGATTTTAATGAAAACAATGAATCCACCTGTATTCCAGTATATCTAACTATTTGAAAACCGTGGTAATGTACAAGAAAAAATGTTTGAGTGATGGTCAACAGGGGAGAAGGGAGAAAGGGAGGGGCTTAGAGCCTTGGAGCCCCGCAGAGCCTCACGCAGCTTCCAGGTTGTTGGGGGTGGCGGGGCGGGGTGGGGGGGTGGTGTGGATTTCATGGGAGCAGCCGGTGGGCGGTGTGAGCCGTGCTCAGTCCACACCTGCACCACCTGGAAGTGAGGCCGCCAAGGGCCCAGCGGAGACTTGGGTCTGTAGCTCGCTGTCCAGCGAGAGGAGAGAGAGCTGCGCTGTCCCCATCGCTCTCCCCCATTGCCCGCCAGGTCTGTCACTGTGACGGGACAGCCACGGAAGCAAGGACAGACTGAGGGAACTGAGAAGATAACACAAGCACAAGCCAGCAACTTTTCGAGACCACAAAAATCTTCACTGCACTTATTTACGGAGAGTGTCACCTTGTTTCAGAGGTAAGGGGACTCGGCCTGCACAGGTCCAGGCACCACAGCTAAGAAAACATACTTTTTAAAAAAAGATTTTGATTGATTGGTTGATTGTGGTGAGCACAAGTGGGGGGGGGCAGAGAAAGAGAGAGAGAAGAGAGAGGGAGAGAAAATGTGGCAGACTCCCTGCTGAGCATGGAGCCTGTTGGATGGGGCTTGATCTCAGGACCCTGAGATCAGGACCTGAGCCAAAATCAAGTGTCTGCAGCTCCACTAACTGAGCCGTCCAGGCACCCCAGAAAGCCATTATTTTCAGACTTGAACATTCTGTACTACTTTTGCCTTCAACATAGAGATCTACTCTTGCTTTCTGGAAACTTTTTGGAATTGTCTCTTTCACGAGATGATTCTGAGATACTGTGTTTCTTTTACCTTCTGTGACTTATTCTTGTCTCCTAATCCTTCTCTCTTCATGTCCATTTCGTTTTGGTTAGTTCTCTTATTCCTGTCC